AGAGGCGAAAAAGAGGGCTCGATATTTAAGCAAGTATTTCGAGGTCGACGGGATCCTATATAAGAAATCGCTAGTCGGGCCTCATTTGTGGTGTGTTTCCGAAGAAGAAGGAATTCATGTTCTAAAAGAAATCCATGAAGGATGTTGCGGAGCACATGTGGGATCTCGAGCCCTAACCGGTAAAGCACTGCGAGCAGAGTATTATTGGCCTAAGATGCGGACGATGGCAGAAAAACTTGTGCGAGGATGCGATAAATGCCAGCGACACGGCGAAGTTACCCATATTCCAGCCGAGTACATGACGACAATTAGCTCCCCAATTCCCTTGGTCCAATGGGGGATCGACTTGGTAGGCCCGTTGCTGATGGGGATGGGACAGAGAAAATTCCTAGTGGTCGCAATCGACTATTTTAGCAAATGGGTCGAGGCGGAACCCTTGGCTCGAATTACCGAAGAAAAGATGATACAATTCTTATTCAACAATATCTGCTGCCGATTTGAAATTCCAAAGGTGCTGATCTCAGACAATGGAACTTAATTCCAAGGGAGGCGAATCCAAGCTTGGTGCCTCGACATGGGAATTAAACAACGGTTTGCTTCGGTCGCACACCCGCAAGCAAACGGGCAAGTCGAGGCAACAAATCGAACAATTCTCCAAGGGTTGAAGAAGAGATTGGAGAAGGCATCAGGAGCCTAGGTCGACGAGTTGAAAACAGTCCTATGGGCCTATAAGACGACACCTAGAAGCTCGACGGGACAATCTCCATTTCACATGGTTTATGGGATGGATGCACTGCTGCCGGTAGAAGTCGGCCTAGACTCTCACAGGTCGACATTTTATGAAGAAAAAAAAAACGAGGAGATGATCGAAGAGGCCCTCGACCTAATTGAAGAAGGACGAGAGGAAGCTTGGGTGCGATCCGTTGAATACAAACAGAAGATGCGAGCAGCATTCGACAAGAAGGTCCGAACCAGACGATTTCAAGTTGGGGATCTCGTCCTCAATCAAGCCGATGCTCTCAAACATGTTGGGAAACTCGAAGCTAACTGGGAAGGACCCTATACTATCACAAAGGTGCTCGAGAGGGGTGCATACGAACTCGAGGACGGAGAAGGTCGACAACTTCCACGATCCTGGCATGTGATCCATCTCAAACGCTTTTACGCCTAAGGCAATGTTTCAAACTTCTTTCTGTACTGAACGATGTTTGAACAATGATGAAATGAATCTCAAAGTTTATGCTTCAATCATGTTTCTTGTGTTTATGCATCGACTTTATTATGATTGCCTGAAAAATTAAATTTTTCAAAACGGCTATTTAGCCGGCTAACTCTCCAATGATTATGAAATCAACACAACTACGAAGTTGTAAACTCTCGAGTGGAATCTCGAGCAGGCTACGAAGCCTTTGACTACGAAGTCGACTAACACAACTACGAAGTTGTAAACTCTCGAGTGGAATCTCGAGCAGGTTACGAAGCCTTCGACTATGAAGTCGACTAACACAACTATGAAGTTGTAAACTCTCGAATGGAATCTCGAGCAGGCTGCGAAGCCTTCGACTACGAAGTCGATTAACGCAACTACGAAGTTGTAAACTCTCGAGTGGAATCTCGAGCAGGCTATGAAGCCTTCGACTATGAAGTCGACTAACACAACTATGAAGTTGTAAACTCTCAAGTGGAATCTCGAGCAGGCTACGAAGCCTTCGACTACGAAGTCGACTAACACAACTACGAAGTTGTAAACTCTCGAGTGGAATCTCGAGCAGGCTACGAAGCCTTCGACTATGAAGTCGACTAACACAACTATAAAAGTTGAAATTCTCGAGCGGAATCTCGAGCACACTACAAAGCTCACAACCATGAAATTGATTTACACAATTGTGCAGTTGTCACACTTAAAAAACAAAAAATCTCGTACAACCAACATAACACACATCTACACGAAGAATATCGAGATAGCTACGAAGCTAGGGGCATGACTCGCTTAGCGCGGCTGCGTTTAACAGCTATAAAGATGTTAAAATCGTTGCTCGACTTCGACCAGCTCGCAATGAAGGGTTGGAGAGAAGACGACTAGAAAAACTTACATTTACCAGCTATGAAGCTGCTAAAATCGTTGCTCGACTTCGACCAGCTCGCAATGAAGGGTCGGAGAGAAGACAAGTAGAAAAACTTACGTTTACCAACTATGAAGCTGCTAAAATAATTGCTCGACTTCGACCAGCTCGCAATGAAGGGTCGGAGAGAAGACGAGTAGAAAAACTTACGTTTACCAGCTATGAAGCTGCTAAAATCGTTGCTCGACTTCGACCAGCTCGCAATGAAGGTTTAGAGAGAAGACGAGTAGAAAAACTTACGTTTACCAGCTATGAAGCTGCTAAAATCGTTGCTCGATTTCGACTAGCTCGCAAGAAGGGTTGGGGAGAAGATATACGTAAAATAACAGCAAGACAGCTTGAAATACGAGTAACATAGAATCCTGAGAAATTAAATCAGCGGAGTATGGATACCAAGACAAGCATCGAAAGATAATGATATTAGTAGAAAGATTCATTACATTCCAAGTCGTCTCGGCCCTTACAAATACTGAAAATAAGCCGAGACGACACAAACCACAAAAGCTTTTTCTTTTTCTTAGACAAGGAAAACAAAATAAACTCTAAGACTTGGCATCAGACTTTTCTGCCTCGTCACCATCACCAGCGACAATAGTTTGAGTTTTCTCGGCATCATCACCCTCAGCCTCGTCAGTCAGCTTCTCACCATCAGCTCCACCAGTCGACTTTTCGTCATCAGTGCGAACCACTTCTTCCTGCTCAATCCCCTCAACCTCTTCGTCCCCGACCGGCTCCTCAAGTTCCTCGGCATCGGAGGACCCCACATGATCCGCTCCATTTGGCCCGACTAGTTCGGTCAGACCAGCCAAAGGAGCGGGGGGAACTTCAAGCCGACCACCCAGTCCGGCCTTGCGAATGGCTCTAGCCTCGAGGCCGACCCACCACGGGTGATCTGCGGGAAGAGTCGTGTCACCCCTATAGCCATCGGGAAAATGAAGGGTTTGCTTAACTGCCTCACGGTCGAGCTTACCCGCGCACTCAGTCTTCTCCACGGCCTTTTCCCACGCGTCGAACGTATGGTTGAAGTACTGGAGAGTCGCAGGGCAGAGCTTGTCGAGAAAGGCGGGGGAGTTGCAGAAGAGATTCACAGTTTCTCGACGATAGTGCTCGAGGAACACATAACCCATGGGCGACTTGAGAAAGGTCCTACGTCCCTCGAGGATCCCCGCCTCTCTCTCAACCATGGCATCATCAGCAGCCTTCGCCAAGTCGGCTTGAAGCTGGTCGACCTTCGAGAGAGCAGCAACTTTCTCGATCTTCAATTTCGCAACAAGAGCGTTAGCTGCTGCCAAGTTGTCATCCTTCTTCTCAAGCTCGAGGAGTTGATCTTCATACTTCTTTTGAAAGAACGAACGTTGGAGTCGAGCGAGCTGGTGTCTTCGAAAAGAGAGGGAATGATGAACGCCATGAACGAAAATGAAAAAAAAAAGGGTATATTTACTGGTGGCAAAATATTCTATGTTCACTGGGAATCATAAGTCAACAATCGCATAATATATTTCATCAACTGGAAAATTTAATAGTTTTACTTGAAAACAAGCGGAAAAACTTTCTGTTACAATTCCAAACTTAGTTTCACAACAAAATATACCACACAAAAAAGATCTAACTTAACCTATTGAAAATAAATGTTTAAGCGAATGATATAACACCACCCCCAAAGAAAGTATTTTTTTCACCAAAATTAGGGAAAGCCAAACTAAATGATTCATAGAGAGGATTCTAAGTAGGGAAGCGCCATCATTTTACCTGAACTCACAAATGGCCTCGTTGAACCCTCAGCCTTTTACTTACATTTGTATCAATTTTAGAGAGTTCTACAAGACAGTTATACTTTAAAACATACTCACATTTGTAATCTTATCTCCACATTTTGAATCTATTTTCTAAAATCCCAAAATACATTAAACAAAATAATAAATTCAATTTTGAAACAAATATAATTAAAAGAGATCCAAAAGAAATTCTTCACCATCGGAAACAACCAAACTATGTACCATAACCCAGTCAAAATGAAGTCAACAATATAAACATCAGAAAAATCACCTCCATTTTAGCATCATAAGCCATTTTCAATTCCCAAGCACGAAACTTTATCGTCGTCCTGATACACTGAAGACAAAAACTTCTGAGAGTTAATATTTCAAGCAATATAGATGCACAAAAAGGAAGCATTGAGTTTATTGTGAGAAACATAAAAAGCACCAAAGTACATATGGAACCATTACAAATTGAAATATTTTTACATAACATTACTTGTCCTACAGAAAAAAAAAAAAGAAGGAGAACAACAAAGAAAAATCAGTCTCGATTTTGATCTTCCTCTTGTCGCGGTTCATTCTTTTATGTTGTACAACAACCACCAAAAACTCAATGTAACAGAACCTTGTTTATTGCAAAACCTTATAATTCTGATTTAATATTTGCTGTGTCTCATTGCCTAAAGAATAAAGCACAACCTTATTGAATAGAGGGAAAAAAATACTCATTGAATAAAAGGGTATATATCATATGTATTGGGATTACCTCCTACTTACACACTGCTTATATTTTAAAATTAATTTGTTGAATTGACTTGATACTGTCGGGACCAATATCCAAGCCCATCCAGCCATCAGGAATCGCGGATGATGGAACAATCTACAAAAGAAAAGGAAAAAAAAAAAAGAGAAAAATTTCAGCACTCCTCTTTAGTGCATAAACAGAACTGTTCATGGAACAATCTACAAGAAAGCCCTAATGATCCTTTCTCTCAAAGCAACACCAGACAACACTCCACCACAAGGACGATTCACAGTCGTCTAGTTTCTGATCAAGTTAAAGGATGAATGCACATAAGACACCATCGCTAGATATCTTAGATAAAAAAGATATTGATCAATCCACGAAATGAGGAGCACATTGACTCACGATTCTAAGCAATCCAATGATGGAAGGGAGAACTTGAGCTTGAAAACTGGATGTTCTCTCTTCTTCCCGTCTAACCTATAATATATAATTGACAGTGCTCAACACAAAAACAATCACAAAAGATTACCAAACAACCAACTAAAGTAAGTGACTATTTATGAGTTATGACCACAAATTCATGAGGAATAAGACATTTGAAAGTTTACCATTACTTTGGAGTTGAGCAGATCAGTCAGGGGCATCCTATCGTACTGCCGAAGTGTATCGCTTGTCAAACCTAGTCACAACGACAGCCGCTCATGAAGAATTGAGCCTTCAACATAAACCAACAAGTGAACTCATAATTACAGTTCTCGCTTGGTGAAGCCTCAATTGGCTCCCAATGCCTCAAATTCCATATCTTGGTTTCTTCATCAGTGCTGCTGTTGAATTTCTCTTCTTCTCGTGCATCGTCGACTGCGATTTTGTGGCTGATTCTCGGCAGCACTTCCGGGGTGGTTTTGCCTTCGAGTTTCTCATTTCTGAAAGGGATTTTGATTAGTAATTTCTTCAATCTCTAGCTCGCGTCCTCATCGGCTTTCTTCGGTTTTGATTTTGTCTCGAACTTCTGAGTACCTCGCTCGGGGTTTATCCTTTCTCCATGGTAGATGGTTTGTGGCAATGAGGAAGAAAAATAAGAATTTTTTTCGTGCCTCTGGTTCGAGAAAAGCAGAAAAGAAACACAGTAGCTGGAGACTTACTCGAGAAGAAACACAGTAGATGGAACGCCGACACTTTGTTTCCCACTAGTGCGGTGGAGGATTCCTAAAATCGCAAGAGGAGAGTTGGTGGTAGGGTTTAAGAAGAGGAAGGTTAGATGGAAGAGAAAGGTTTTTTGTACAGAGAAGGAGATCTGGTCTGGGGTCTGATGAGAGAAGAGAACGTATTGCAGAGTTTTGACCAATTTTGTTGCTTCAGAATTAAGCCACCGCCTCACTTTCGGCTGGGTCAACCACAATTGACAGCAATCACATCACTGCAGAAGGCGTGGAAGAGACGGTGGCCGCACGTCGGGCCAGAATTTCCGTCAGGAAATCATCTTCCAAACAGTGTTGTTTTTCCTATGGTGAGAGAATACGTCAATCGTCGTGTACTTGCCACAATAATTTACATTATGAGGTATTCAATTGATCGAAATAATCCCCCAAAGCCTATTACAACACGGTTATTTCCGTAAACTTAGAAGCCAATTTCTGCACGCTTTTTTTCCTGGCTAACTTAAAAAAAATGCAGGCCACCAAAAAACAGTGGTAAAAATGTAATAAAAATAGGACACTTGTCAATTTTTCATGATGCCATTAAGGGACACATGTCACAATTTAAAGGCCACACACTTATTCATATATATAGTAGAGAAATATTCTAAATATATATTTTTTTTAACATCTATCGATATATTATTTACATCATTTACAAATAATCGTGGATGTCTCTATAAATCATGTCATCCAATCTTTCATCACATAAATGTCTAGAGCCTACAACTCCAACAGATTAAACACGAATTGTTGATTTGGGCTCTTTAACTATCAAAATGGGAATTGTTGACCATGACCTTGGTTCCTGATAAAAAAATAGATTATACTGTTCGATTTTGACTCAACCTTTTTTGTTGAACTTGTAGTTTTGGTTCCAAATTGGAATTGGCAAACCATCGACTGTCGTTACAGAACGAGATTTTATTAAAAAGAAGTAAATCAGTGAATATGATCCAAATTGTGTGAAATGAAGGCAATGTTTTTTAATCCATATTATAAATTCAGGTCGTGAAATACAATGACCTTTATCTTGATATTTAGATTTTATAGCTGCTTCAAAATCAAAAGACGAAATTAATTCAAATCGACTATTGACAGGTTCCATAGGTTTTTCTTTTTGTACAAATTTTTGTCCATGGTTATTCCCACGTCATTTATTATACCAATATGAATCTCCCCTCTTTCTCAAACAAACAAATGCTAAAATATTATTATCTATAATGAACAATACTAATATCATTTTGGTTGTGATTGTTGACGTGTGATTCTACCAACAAAATTACGAAGCTGAAATATACTATATAATCTAGATTTGATTAGAAAAAATAAAGGAAAGAAACGCAGAACAAGAACCTGGAAATTGAAAGTGAAAGGGAAAATAAAATACTTCATGTGGTAGTGTTTCTCTGGTACCTTACCTGTGAACATCAACCTTGTCAAAAGAGGGATCACTGTGGATCCTATCTATCCTGTTTGTGGAGAAGCTGTAGAAACAATTGAACACGTCTTGTGGTAGTCCAACAGGGCAAGAAGGGTCTGGAGTTTAACACCTCTGAGTTGGGAGGGTTTTTCTTCAACTAAAACCTCTTTCTCTGATTGGTGGTGACATACTGACATATTTACTCCATGAGTTTCAAGGAGATTGACAAAGATAGAATTTAGCTCTCAACTTATATACTTTGGTGGTTGTGGAAATCCCGCAACCTCTGGATTTTTCAAAAACAGTGGATCCCAGATCACTACCTTGTGAGGCAAGCATGCAAGGATTGGCTCGAATAGAGGACTGTTTAGTTGATTTTGGCTTGGGGTGGGCTATTGAGAATATGATCTAGGCCTTTGACAATTTTTTTGTCTCTGATATGGATAATAAGGCAAAAGGCTGGACCAGCTGAAGTCATGGACCGGTCGAAGTCATGGACAGACGGCGGGCCAACACCAACTTGGTCCTTACAAAACGTGTAACATTCGGAAGGCGGATCATCATACCTATCTGAAGGAGCCGGATTCAAACTCCCAGCCGGTAGGCAACTCACATAGCTCCGTAAATTCCGCGATATCGTCGGAGGACATGCGGGAAAAAACACTAGGTCCACTCTCGGGATCAATAAACTCACCCGAGTCGGACGAAGAGGAAGCATGATTACCCGAGCCAGTAAGGTGGGTAGCATGTCCGCTCGAGTGGGCCGAAGGAGAGGCGTGGCTCCCCGAGCCACGCGAAGGAGAGGCGGGTTTCCCCGGGCCGGTCACAAGAGAAGCGCCGTAACCCAAAATCGAGTCGGGCACGTCGGAAAAGGATGGGATATCCGCAAGATCTAAAGGGACACCGTGCAATTAGTCTCCAAACCGTTGGAGTTCATCCCACGTGAACACGCCCTCGACCTCATCGACTAAATGAAAGGTATCGGCCTTAGGAGGAGGATTGGGAGGCACATCTACACAAGGGTACGAAATGAAAACTACGTAAGGATCTTTGGGCTAAACCCTTAGCTCAAACTCACGAATCGAACCAAGGAAACAAAAGGGGGAAACTACGACGCACCAAGAGCAATGAAAGAGACGAGCGATTTTTAATTAAATTAAGAGAGTCCAAGAATACATACCCATAATCGGAGGTGGCTCGCGCTCAATTGAAGGGATTGGTCGCCGGGTAGAAAAACTCGTGGAAGGTGCACCGAGTAGAGAGGTTCGCAAATGGCCTACCGGGTGGAGGAATCCGCGAGGAAAAGCGTCGGGTCTTGAGAAGTGCAAGCAAGCCGCCGGGAGGAGGGCCCACAGTGAGCTGCCGGGTCGGATGGTGCGTGGGTAAGTCCAGGCCAAAGGACAAGCC